TAAGCCGTGTTTCTATCACCTTTCGCCGACCTTCATACCCTCAACTTTTGACTCCAATAAAGCTCCTATGCAGCCAATTGCCTTGCAAGCTCCTACTCCATTTTATTGATTTGCTCCCAATCTATTGTATCGGTCCTCTTCAAAGCTTCAATCTCATCCTGCAAGGCACGAATATTCCTGGCGGAGTTATTCACCCTAGCTCGACTCCAATAATATAGGAGATGACAGAGTTTCTTTAATCGGGACCATAACTAAAACATCGGTGATCCTGTCATTTCTTTTTTCCAGACGTACCTGATCATCAATCGAACCTTAGGATTACACGCCCATCTAGCATCAAATTGAACTACCCGGAGGGCACGGTGATCTGACCCTAAGCTAGTACAGTGTTGAATAAAGGATTGGGGGAATTTGTCCAGCCAAGACTGAGAGACCAAAACTCGATCCAGTCTCTCTTTAATACAGGTCGTCCCCAATCTTCTATTAGACCAAGTGTAAGGATTTCCTCAAAAACTCAAGTCTTGTCGTTCCAATAAATCCATGGAATCAAGAAGGACATATGATGACGTTGGACTCCAAGGAAGTCCACCATCTTTCTCTGCAGAAGTAAGGGTACAGTTCATATCACCTATCAACGCAAAAGGAAAAGAAAGATCATTACATATCAAATTCACAACCTCAAGCTACTGAGCATGGACTGCAACATTACTATCCAAATACACACACAACCACATAATATGAATGGCCAATTCATTATTCCAAAATGGACAGCGACATAAAAACTAGAACTATGTAACACTGTTACATTCAATCCAAGGACCCAACCTATAGCCAACCCCCCTGAAGAATTAACAACATCGACTAAGAAATAGGAATAAAACCTAAACCCCGCATACGCCCGAAAACTACTCTCCTACACGATCTTGTCTCAGAAAAGAGAACAAAATATGGATTATCAGACCTACAAAGACCTAAGATATACTTGGAATTTGTTTTTTAAAAATATAAATTGCCATATTCAAAATTACATTTACTTTTATATGTTTTGGAACAAAAAAAAAAAAAATTTTGGCACATATATTATCAGTCTATATCAAAATTCAAGAAAGTGATAGGAGTAAGACAGACATTGGGGTCTTGTCTAGCTCTTAGGTCGCCTGGGCGCTGTCTAAGTGTGCCTAGACTTTTGAATCAAAAATAGCCTTTTGTATTATATGATGAATGAAATAGTTGTTTTACGAACTTCGACTTCACTTCAAATGATTAATACTTATTTAATACTTAACAATAAGAAAAAGGGACAATTCTACTAGGAAACCCAAAGTATTAAAAACTTGTCATTTGTGTTCTAAACTATTCAATATGAAAAATCTTGCACGAACTATTTTTCCGTTAATGTTTACCTGCGTTTACCATTTGTATTTAACAAAAATTCTAGTCAACATCTATGTGGTTTGTGCAAGATTTGTCATGTTGAATGGTTTAGGACACAAATGTCATAAAATGCATATAGTTTGTGCCAGATTTGTCATATTGAATAGTTTAGTACACAAATAACACTTTAAGTTAGTTTGGGCTTCCTAGTGGAATTAGCCCTAAGAAAAATGGCACAATAGTTCATAAAATCATAGGTCAACGGTGTTCAAAATTCTTGAGCTATTGAAGAAATTGAGATTGTAGATGATGTTACTTTCTCCCTTTTTATTTTGGTTGTCTAGCTCCGCCTAGTTACACCTAAGCGACACCTAGGTGTGGTTGAAATGTCCGGCCGCGTTCGAAATTTCTAACCTATTGCGAAACCTCTAGACGAGGCGTTTTAGCTTTGTCTAGCGACTTGGCATAAGGTTTAGCGTGCATTTTTGAACTATGGTCTATACCACGATGGTAGTGTTTGCTAGTGTATAATCTCAAAACTGTTGTCAAAATTGTGTTCCTTGTTTATGAATCTCAAAACTGTATCTTTCACTCAATTATGTAAGAAGTTTAGTGTTAATCTCAGCTTTTGATGGGTTCTAGGATACAACATCCATTAGAAAGTTTGGATCATAAACTGATTCAATCAAGAAGTTTGGATTGACTCCTCTTTTTGCTGTTAACTTCCATTGTTCTTGGGGAAGTCTGGATTCACAGGCTCCTCTTTTTGTTTTCTCCATTCTTTTGCTACAGAACTGTTGTTAACTTCCATTGTTTGCTCAAGAGGAATGTCACATTGTATGTTGTAGGTTTTGTTAGAACTCGAACCAACAAGCTTATTGATGGGGCTGGGTTTTCATGCAGCATGTTCACTGTTACAGAAATCAATAGAAGAGTATTTGGCTCACTAACACCGCTAGAAATGCATGCATCAGCTGTATCATAGGCAAGATGTTTACTGTGGAGATTGATATTTCGGTTTTTGAGGTGAGTGCCATATGGTATCAACTTGCCTTTCTCATCTTGACGTTTAAAACCCTGTTTGTCCCTTTATGATGTCAAAGATATTGCTTTGTTGGGGTTGTAATCCAGAACATATTTTGCTTCATCAATTCTCTGCATGTACTATGTTTATGTATACTTTGCGTTGTATAGCTATTCGTAAAGACATGTAGAATGATTGGCGATTAGTGTTTCTTGACAATGCATATGCTTTTTACTTTTGTTTTCAGAATGCAGACATCATGTTGGTTAGGAGGGTAAAATACCTCGAGTACCACTTAAGTTTGAGAATTTGGGTAGTCATACCACTTAAGTTTGAATAAGGCGTCAGGTACCATTAAAGTCGCCAAAAGGTGCATCCGTCTAGTTTTCCATCCAACCCAAAACTTTAATTACCTTTTGGTACCCAAAAAATTTTAAAACATCAAAAACTATATTCAACAAGTATTATCTAATATAAAAATTAAAAAACCTTCTAAACATAGTATTACTAGAATGACTAATGAAATTTTTTCAATATAATAGATAACTTAGTAAAAATAATCAACGAATATCAAGAAATAATAATAAATATACTAGAAGATCTATTTAAACCCTTAATACAATTTTTTTTTTGACAAAAACCCTTAATACAATTAGAAGCACCAATAAAAACAGTTAAAATAGAACCTAATCGACCGTCAATACATCAAGACTAAAGAAGATCTAGGAAAAAAATGACTATAGGAAGAGAATTACAATTAGTAAATTTAACTTATATGAAATATATACATAATATTAGAAAATTACAAGGAGATTTAATATAGAAAATTAGACAAGACCGGCATGATGTAAGAGAACTAAATATAACACTCAGATTATTTTTATCGAGACAGAATTTACATGATACATTTGTTAAAGTCAATCATTCAATTATTAGAATACATAATGATAATTGAAATTGAAAATGTTTATAATGATAATTGATTCTAAATTTTTTTATTCAATAATTGGTGTGGTATAAAAGAGTCTTCAAAAGATTATTCCAACTAAACAATAAAAAATGATGTTTTTCATAAGTCCAAAGGATTTCTTACAATAACAAAAATTGGAAAGACCAATTTTGAAATTTAGAAAACGGAATATTTCAATAATATTCTGTCAATTTTAATGGAATGCACTTGATAGTAAACTTAAGTGATACCGGGTGCATAGATAATAAAGTTTAGTGGCACGCGATGCCCTATTCTTACTTAAGTAGTATAGCTCCACCAATTCTCATACTTTAGTGATACCCTAGCTATTTTACCCCGGTTAGGAAGGGTTGCACATTGATATGTACCTCTCCCGACCTTTATTTACCTTCGCAAATATGTCCTTTGATAGATGCGGCATGTTGATTACCTATGAAGCACAAAATACAAAGTGTCATGCACAATTTCAAAACTTTGAATCCACAATGTGGCCAATAGCGCAACTACCCCCAATTTGCTGCCATTTAAATTGGTTACAATCAAGGATTGAAAATACGGTACCGGAGGTCGTACCGGAAAAGTCACCGATAGGATATTTTATGCTAAAATCGTGGTTTAACCATGGTTCAACTGTATTATACCGCTAAATACCGCCTACCGAGTTTGCTTCTGATAAGAGATTTTTCAGATCGAACCGCCGATACAGTACGATATTTTTAATCCTTGATTACAGTACGATCATGTTGCTGCAACTTTAGTCGCTGCAGGTATCGCTTCTAATATATATTATTATCACAAAGTGGAAAAGAATAATAGTAGCATATAAATATATTGGATGCAGGATGGGAACGGATCCAAACAGGTAAGGTTTCTAGGTTCGAATTCTATAGGTTTGTAATAATTACATGTTAGCTTTAGGTTTGTTTTTGGGTGGGGTATAAGACAGTTGCCAGAGCTGCTCTTTCTTTGTTATACACTCGACTCAACTTGAACACTAAACTACAAAACTTCCTAGGGCCTTGCCGGATCTGATGCATATCCACCCAAGGAACCAAACTTCAACCTGCAAATTACATGAAATCCAACACCTTCACTATCGCTGTCTAATTCTCCTGCTGGCAGAATTATCGCCACTCCTAGCCAAAGCATTCCCGGGACAATTGCGAGGATCACCACCAATTGCATTACAATTCTGGACGAGACTCGCTCCGACTATACAACATACTGCTGCTAGGTGAAAACATTGGTCTGTCTCTCATTCACTTCAATATTCTGATCATCATGTGCCTAGCAAAAAATAACAAGAGAATTCTTCAGAAGAATGAAAGGGCCAGCATTTGGAATCACAGATAACGAGATACACTAGACAAAAGAATAGGAATATGGTTTGCGACACCTAAGTCATCAAAATCTATATGTTGAGACTTTCATTGGGGGCAGAACAGGGAGAAAGAAAAGAAGATGTGCATTGCGAAAAGTCCCGGTGTCCGAAATGAAGGAAGTTGAAAATTGGAAAAATGCAGAAAAACACCTCCCCTCCTATGAACCATTGGAGATTAAGAATTGGTCTGATTGAGAGATATGATACTGTCTAAACCAACCATCTTCTATGTTAGTTCCCTCCAATAATTATTAAGTAGTGGTGATCCAAACAATCACAGTAAATTGAAGTGAGACGAGATGAAAGAACGTACCAGACTGATGACCATCACCGTGTTCACCTCCAGGACTTGAACTGGGCTTGCTCGTACTTGGCTGGGGTATTAGTTGATTCTGAGAATACAAGTCAGCATTAGGATACAATCAGCAGATACAACAAAGGCTGGGTGGGATTTACAAAGAGGAAGCAAAGAACCTTAGGGGACATGTCAAAGGGATTATATATATGCTTATGAACGCAAGTTCGCAGTTACAACCAATACATGCAGGACTGATAAATAGGGAGAGTGCTTTGACTCGTTAAGTGGACAAAGATTGATGGTCAGGTATTGACCCCGACATGAAAGTCTCAGTAATTACACACAAATACCTGTGGCATTGGTATTGGCATCTGCATCTGGTGGAGACCAAGGAATTGCTGATAGGGATCAGGAAAGTTTGGAGGCCTTTGTTGGCCCAGGGTCGATGCGCCTAGTGTGCTTAGCATGGGATCTGACTGGTTTGCAACTTGAATTCGGGATGCATCAGGATGCAAGACAGGCGGCATCTGAAAGGCTGGCACAGGAAACCTCTGGCCCAAATGAGCAGCTGCTGACTGCAAGGATCCACCAGCCAAAACATTTGGAAATGGCATCATTGGCCGGTTCATTCCCATCTCCATTCCCATCCCCATACCCATCCCCATACCCATAGGTGGCATGTATTGCTGGACGCCAGGAAACATCATAGGAACCATGCTGCATCCCATGGACATCATCTGCAGGAATTAATCACATTCTAACTTTTGTCATAGACGATGTGTGCATCCAAAATTATTGTTGATTCAAATATGAACAGCAACGTATAACACACACACAAGCACAGATAAAGAATCCTTCATCCTATGCGAAACAACCAATTCTTAATATTGCATTAGTCTGAAAATGATGGATGTGGAAGAGGACAGTATTAGTTAGTTGCTTCTTCAACAAATGCCCCATCCTTATCATTAAAGGTTTTTTAGCAGAACCAGAAAAATTAATAATGAGCAACCTGTAGAAATCGATACACGAACAACATTGACAGACCTCTCTTTGGTTTCAATGTGTCAGGTTTGAACTAGTGTGGGAAACGGCAGTTACATGATGAATAGATGATGGAAACATGATATTTGGTTATGGGAATTTTGTTAAGTTAGTAGGTTGGCCGATTATCGTTTCTGGGTGAGTCTCTATAAATTGTTGGCTCGATCGATTAACCAATCAAAGAACTCAATTTGCCCACTCCTCTCAAAACTCTAATCCCTATTTTGTTCTTAATCTTTTCCCGGTCAAGGGAACAAGTTGATTGAGCTGTATTGAGTTCAACACTATTTGATCTAGACGTGGTTTGCAGAACGAGGTGACTAATCTAGATAGCCAACACAAGACCATCAAATGATACAAGCAATACATACCTGTACTTGCAATTGAAGAGACTTCAAGTATTCAATCGCCTCATCCAGCATAGAAGCTTTGTCTGACTGCACATTGACAGAAATAAAACAGAAGTTCACCGACTGGTTGACAAATGCCAACGGGATAGGGAGAATGATTCTTATATATACTATTAAAGACTACAACGAGAACACATATATCTATAACGGAAACCTTGTTGCAACGTGGTATAAGTTCTTGCAAGGCCCTCATCTTTTCGTTGATCCGATCTCTACGCCTCTGCAATAACAAAGTAACACAATCTCTCAACCATAGTCATAGTGCACGAACCAATTCACCAACTCCAACAGAAGGGTAGTTGGAAAATACACACCCTTTCAGAGAGGTTGTGAACCTCAGCAGCGCGAGACCGCTTATTGGATGAAGTTGATCCGCGAGCTTGTTTCTTCACTTCCACAGATTCAAACTCAGCATCCTTCAATGTCAAAGCAGGGGTAACAATTGAATCAAGTAAACATGTAGAAAGTAGCACGGAATTCTAATTTCTACGCGCAAATAATCAGCTTAACAGACCAAACTTAGCCCCTCAAGCATCACTCAGCATGTAGAAACATATACTAATATCTGCAGACGAGATTCATTGGGAAAAAATTGCAGTATGAGATTTGTGACATATAAAGTAAGCACATGCGATTATCACAGTACTCATCGTCAGGGCGGATCCTCTAAGAACTTCACCGCTGTAAAATCCAGCAGAGTGGCCCGGTTGCACAATTTCGGAAAAGGGTTGAATCGGTGGTCAAGTGCTGCTCCTTGCCTTGTCATGAATATAATAACATCCTCATTTTTCTCTTAACCAAAAAATGGACCACATCAGGTCCATCAAATGCACCCGCACAGAGAAGATCATCACAGACAGAACGCCCCATAACTTTGAGAGGAGCACACACGGCATATCTGAAGGCAGGGTATGAAAAGCAACAAAAAGAAAAAAAGAAAACAAGGACCGATCTGCCAGGGTGGACAGACATCAGGCAGCGCAGATATTTGGAAATGTGGCCACAAAAAAATTGTACATCCCGGAGTTGCATAATAATCCTACAACGTGCGCATGCAGTCTAATCTATAGCCCCCAAACAACTTCTCTCCGGTCTGTAGAAGGAGAAAAAAAAAATGTACTCTCCCGACCAAGGTTGTCACCCCGGTTTAGTTCGTTAGCTCGGTAAGACAAGTGATTCAACTCTTATAGTCCAGATTAGTCTGGATATAAATCAATATTTTCATACATTTATAAATTTTATCAAATCTCATTTAACATATAAACAATAACATATAACATTACACCAAAATAATAGATCGTCTTTGGATCCAACATACTGTGAAGATTCACACACTTATATAACATCAAATACTTAAATATTCAGTTTAACAATACCAAAAACAGGGTTAGGAGAGGAGGAAAACTGGAAAAAGGGCATTTCACGAATTAAAGGGGAAAAGATGCTTTGTAACTTTACAATAAGTGGAATAACGAATGTGTAACGTATTTTTCTCACCGAATCAGATCAAAATGTATCAATCAACGGATCAATCAACGGATCGACCCGCGGATTGACAACCTAACAGCAGACAGAGAACGGGAGGGCAGATAATTGTTTTTTTAAAGGCGAAAGAAAAATCTACCGGGAATCGGTGCTCGCGTTTATCAAGGTCACACTGCCAGCGCACGATGGGCAGGAGAGGATAAAACGTGCTCCCTGTTTTTCTAATTAATGATAATATTAATAATAATATATTATCATCTCTATTATTTTAATTTAATAATCCCTAGAATTGGAATTCCCTTTAATTGAGCTTGTGCTTAATTTAATGATATTTTAATTTAATAATCCCTAGAATTGGAATTCCCTTTAATTGAGCTTGTGCTTAATTTAATGATAGCAGATTGAGTTGGTTAGTGTTAACTGATAACTGATAACCACCTCTGCTTAACTCAGTAATTGCGATTTGCAAGAGACTCACCTCGCTGTGATACTCGCCCTCCTCCTCCCTCCCCTTCCGCTTCCTATCCTCCGTCCGCTGACTCTGAGTCGCCGGCACCGCGCTCGAGCTGGAGCCGCCGGGAGATGACGTCACCGTCATCTCGCAGGTCATCACGTCCTTAGTCGTCTTGGTGGAGGTCGAGGGACCCGCCGCCATCGCTCCGTGCCCAGCGCCGCCGCTCACGCCAGCTGCCGACACGCTCAGGGTTCCGCCAAGATTGTCGCTGATCGAAGCGGCCACAAAAGCCTCCGAGACTCGAGAATTAAGCCGCAGCGCCGGGGTATCGCTTGAGTCAACGACCGTGGATTCCCTCACCACCGTCTTGGAATTAGAAGGTCCTGATTCAGCCATGTTTCCCCTGACCGCGGCCGCTCTGTGCCTGGAGAAGTGCGCGAAGTTCTGAACCACATCAGGCTTCCTAGGGGGAGGAATCGGCGGCCTGGCGACGGCCAAGTGCTGATTCTGCAAGGGGCGAACAGGAGGACCGCCGACGTTGGTCGTCGCTGAGGCGGTGCCTGTGGCGGCGGTGAGAGCGGCGGTGATGCAGGGGGCAGCTGGATAGAGGAGATCGGCGCAGAGGTCCTGATCAAAATTGGGTTCGTGGATGGGGTAATGAAGCCAGGAGGCCATCTCGTCCTCTTGCATAAACAGGTGGGGAGCAGGCAGAGCAGGATGGTCATGGAAAGACGGCCGGATCTCCTTGAACGCTGAGTGGTCGGCTGGGTTCAGGCCGCCGCCGCCGTCGTGTTTGGGGGATCTCTTGAGAGATCTCTGCGTTTGGCTCTGGACAACAACTTGGCCGTTCTGCCAGAGTAGCTCCATGATGTCGTCCTCAGACCTGCTAAACAAGTTGAAAGCCACCATATAAACAAACAATCAAGTTGAAACCCAAGAGTCAGTCGGTCGAAGAATCTGAATCGGAGAGATGAACTAGGGATTGGAATCTAAGAAGGAAGTTAGGGGGGGCCGGGAGTCTTACGCGGATGATTTCTTGAGGCCATTGAAGGCCGAAGAAGAAGGGATTCCATCGTCGTCCTCCATTTCGAAGACGGGAACAAAATGGTTCATTCTGTCTTCAAAAAAGGGCAAAGCTGAGGAGGAAGTGAAAAGTAGAAAGAAACAGAGCAGGAGAAAGGGGTGAGTTGAGGAAAGAGAAAAAGGAGAAGGGCTGCTTGGCAACTGAACGGTGACAAAACGCAACCGACTCAGGCTGAGAAGAGAAGAGAATGTCCATAAATGGCAATCAAATGGCCGCCATGGCCGAGAGATGCAGGCCAATTGTCAAATTCTGCCATCTCAAATTCCTAAAAGCTCTATCAGCACGCGATTCCTAACCCAAAGCCTTCTCTCATGCCCCTCTTCTTTGGGATTCACAGTTCAGACATCTCTGAAATTGAGAGTGGGTGGAAATGGAGAAAATTTTGTAGAGAATTTATCGCCAGAAGATTTTCTGTTGGCTGTTCTATTTTCGGTGGTTATATCTTTGTTTGCTTCCCCGTTTTCCTCTTTTTTGGCGATTGCTTGGCTTTAAAAGGCTAGATGTTTCCAGCTGCAGAGCCAAGAGGCCAAGGAGGGCCTCAAAGATAAGGGTCCCCTTATGCTCTCCACTCCAGTCACTAGTTACCTCTTCTTCTTCTCTCTCTCTCTCTCTCCTAATAATGCCGAAGAGAAAGGGGACGAAATAGATTTTTGACGCTATGTCCTCAACGCCATGTATCCTCCCTTTCGCCGTAATTCGGCAATGAACGACTGCAATTCCGCTTGGTATAAAGCGCCCAATTCTGCTACGGCGCTTTAACAAGTAGGGTGGAAATCAGCACGGCTATTCTAGTACCAAATACCGAATAGTGTTTTCAACTTAATTTCAATTCTGTTTGAGACCCGTTACCCTTGTAAGACTCTCCTGAATTCTCTATCGCCAGGCGTCGATCTGCACACACGAACAAGGAGGGGGCGCCTGGGCCCGTTAATCCTCCGACGCTCAAGTCAGTTTCTATGAAGAGAGAAGTGTCTCAAAGCTAGAGTTCGTGGGAGAGAGTCCAACCTGTGTAAATGCTACCAACTGCCCCTATTTATACTTACCAGAGTTCGACGTTGATCCTCTCTACCTCCCTGCCTTCATTCAATGCTTTGTCTCTTTCTGACCAGACATCCCAACCACCTTGTCAGACTCCTGGCATGTGACAGGCGCCCGCAGGCACTGGACCACATGACAGTCTGGCCTCTTTTGGCTTCTTGTGACTTGTCTTCATGTGGCCTCCCTTTTACTTGGGCTTTGCCCCCCACTTGGGCTGTTTGGGAGCCCAAGTTGCCGCTCATTGGGCTTTGCTCATAATACCCCCAACAATTGCCCCCCCAGCTAGGTGCTCATTGCTCTGCTGCTGAGCGCCTAGCTGACTCGGTGGTTGCCTTGTCCCTCCTTAGGCGCCCGGTTCCCTGAGCGCCTCGGCTTTCTTGTTTTGCCTTTTTTTTGCCTTCTTTCTCTTTTCCCTTTTTTATAAGGCGCCCTGATCCCTGCGCGCCCTCATTCGGCTTCTTTTCGGGCGCCAGATTTAAGGCGCCTCAATCCCTTATGCCCCCCTCATGGGTGGGCGTTTGACATTGGCCCCCACGTTTTCCTTGTTTGAATTTTGGCCATTTTTTTTTTTGCCAAAATTCCAACAAAAAGGAAAAGGTGGGGGGGAAGTTCAAAAGCCCGCCATTGATGATGACACGTGGCACGCTACGCGCATCTATCCTCCTGCTCCTCCTTTCCTTTAAATACCCCCTCCCCATCAGTCCTTGTCACTTTCCACATTCTCGCCTCTCTCTAAGATTGTTGCTCTGACTTCTCTCTAGATTCTCTCTGACATCTCTCTAGATTCTTCTGCTTTCGTCAGCCTTTCTGTCCATTCGTCCGAAAATGACTTCACAAGGAGACAAAGTTGTCGGCCAGGGCGCCTCCACTGCGGGTGAAGAGGCTAGACCAGGCGCCTCGAACGCTGGCGGCGAGGCAAGGCGCCCCAGTCGAAGCGGTAAGGAATTTCCTTGCTCTACTAGTTGCGTTCCTTATTTTTATTCTAGCTCTCTAGGGTAGGGCGTCACTTACTCTGCGGCCGTATTGCGCCTGGGTCATTTATTGGTTTAGAGAGGGCGCCTGCGTCGACGTCCGCGGGTCCATCAAGCGCCTCCACTCCGGGCTTCATGCCCGCCGATGGGTCCTACAAGATATCTGTGTGGGAGAATTCGTTTCCGCCCGATCACCTCCCGACGGAGACGGAATCGTTGTCTTTCGACGTAGCGGGCCCACAGCACACTTCTACCGTCACCTTGGCTCGTGTTCATGAGCTGGTGACCAGCTTCCAACTGCCCCGTGACTGGTGGTATGCGCCTCCTTCCCCTATCTCACGAGTGGGCGTCTGCGGGCCTAAGTGGATAGGGGTGTATCAAGAATACTTCCGCTTCGGGCTGCGGTTCCCCCTTGACCAAATAATGGAGGGTATTATGACGACCTGTGGCTGCCCATTGGGGCGCCTGTCTCCCTCGGTGATCATGGTGGTCATCCTTTTCAAGCTGCGTTGCCGCGAACATAACGTGGAGCCTACCTTCAACCTTTTTCGATACTTCTTCAAGATGGCGCCTCTGGATAACTGCTTGTCGCTTCAAAAGAGGAAGGGGCGCCCTTATCACTTTGTGGAGAAGTGCCCGAAGTTGGGGCGCAGCTAGTTTAACGGGTTCTTCTTCATGAAGGCTTATCAAGACTCGTTTTTCGAGAGTGGGGGCGCCTTCCTGAGAGAGTGGAAGCTGGGGAGTGTAGAAGAGTTTAATACAGACGTGGAGTTGTCCCCCACAGAAAAGGCAGGCGCCCCGCTGATTTGCGAGACGCACGTAAACTTGCGCAAGACCGAGAATCGCCCTCCTATTTTGGAGGCGTATTATAATGATGGTCCGTAGGCGCCCATATGTTGCGTCAATGTCTTTATTGCCTTGTCCTGTTGTTAATGAATGTTGCTTTGGTGCTAACTTACTTAGCGATGTGCAGGGTCAGATTTCACGAGCATTGCGAAGCTCATGAAGAGCAGCCTTGCTGCCATGGCTGGAGGAGCGCCCCCACCACCAAGGCCCAAGGCGCCTGTTGCGGCCGCTCCGGAACCGCAAGCGCCTACTGCTGCCCCCAAGAAGAAGAAGAAGAGGGCGGTGAAGGAGGGTACCACGAAGACCGCCAGCGTGGCGTCTTCGGCACCGGAGGAGGAGGAGGAGGCGCCCCACGTTGAGGCGCCCGCTACAGAGCCCATGGAGCAGGAGGGGAACTCCGGGGAAGAGGAACCCGAGCCCCCGGTTAGACGTGGGCAATGTCAGCAAGAAGGCTGACAAGGGGAAGGAGAAGGTAGGTGCCAGCGCCCGAAGTGGGGGAGGGGGCGCCTTCGAGTACCATCTTACTGAAGAGGGGCAGTGGGTAGGCCCCGATGGGCGCCCCCCCATATTCCAGCCCACACGCGCCGATGTTGGGCGCATCGAGCTGCCATGTTCCCCATTGGTAGCTGTTGACAGAGACTGTGCCATGGGCATGGCAATTACGGCTGCCAAAATGTGGCAAGTGCCGTTGGAGGTGAATGGGGATCACCTCTTTGCTGAACTGGCAAAAGTGGGCGCCAAGGTACGTTCCCCGTTGTTTGTGTTCTTGATTTTTGGGTTTCTTTTAACTTTGCATAAGTACTAACTCTTTGTATCTTGTGTGTGTAGATTCTTCTTTTTGCTGAGAGAGGCGCCCGGCGCCTTTCTGAAACGAAAAGAGAGGCGCTCGAAGCCTCTTCTTCTGCCTCACAGTTGCAACGTGACCTTGACAACGCGACGGAGCGTCGCGAGCAACTTGTGAAGGAATGCGACGAGGCGCAAATGAATGCGGCCTTGCAAGTGTCGCAGCTTCAGGGCGCCCTCGACGAGGAGCGCAATAAGTCAGCCACCCTTCAGGCTGAGAAGGAGGCGCTGGCACAGGAGGCGGGCGCCCAGGCTAGCGAGATTGACATCCTAAAAGAGGAGAAGAAGAGGTGGCAGGACGCCTACAAGGAATGCAAGAAGGATCTGAAGGAGGCTCGGAAGGAGATCACCAACTTGCGCCACTCTTTGGATACCTTCGAGGAGTCCGAGACTAGGAGGAACATGAGCGCCAGTGCTATTCTGTCTGGCCTGCAGATCTTTCACGGCAAACTGGTGAGGGATCACCTTGATCTTACTTGGGATTTTACCGAAATCGCCGAGTATGTGATCGGGGAGTTGGAGACTCCACTGGAAGCGGGGAATGCGCCCCAACCATCCAATGCGTAGGAGCCTCCACATGACTCTGTTCCTGTCTCTCCTTCTCCTAAGGCGCCTAGTGCTGGTGACGCCAACTCAGGCGCTGAGTGAGTGCAGATGGGCGCCCCATTTTACTCTGTATTTTTTTTTCGTATAATAAAAATGTTCTTTTTGATATTGCGACCATACTTGTTGGACTTATTTACTTATCGTGTTGTCGTTGTGTTTGGGCGCGAGTAGTGTGGGCGCTTTTAAACTTTGGGGGCAAATTTCCTTTATCACTGATTGCCATGTCTCGAGGGCGCAAATGTGGGCGCATTAATTGTTCTGACGTTGGGCGCAGAGTTGTGGGCGCTTTGGCTTTGGCGGGCGCAAAATTGGGCGCTTTACTTACTCACGTACCAATTGACAACACACGATCGAGCGCCAGTTTAGGGCGCTTTGTATTACACAAAATTTCCGGGCGCGAAATTAGGGCGCTTTTACTGCTTACGAAAGAGGAATTGAAAACATTAAGTCTCAATCGAGCGCTGCAACACGGAGCGCTTTTGGACACAACACAGCGCTACTTTTACGAGCGCTTTTGGACACAACACGGCGCCTTACACAATTGTCTCTAACACTAACAATGCTCTTGACTACGACCACCTTTTGCCTTCTTGGCCCTTATCGAACGGAGGCGCCCTCCCGGTAAACTCGCAGGTTCTGCGCATTCCAAGTTCGTTTTACGCCTTTGCCGCTGGTATGCTCTAGCTTGAACGTACTTGGTCCCACCACCTCTCGAACTCGATATG